GGGCACACCAATGGGAGGCTGACATTCTAAAATCTTCAGGCAGCTGCGATCTAAAGTGACTTGAAGTTTCTTTTATTTCTCCTCCACCCCACCTCTCCTCTTGTCCCCTGGGCCACCTTGCCATGGATAATCAAACAACATTGAATAGACCAGTTCTCCACTGGGCTTTGCACCTATGAATAACTGTACACCTTGAGGGCATTCGTTTGTAGCCTTCTTAACATACGTTGCGTGTTATGAAGGCAGCTGTGTTTTACAAGCACTAGTATCTCTAGAAATCAGGAAGGGAGACTTTAAAGAAACACATTTTTTTGCATTTTAATATAAGAAAAAAATATATACTCTTCTGTCTCCACTCCCATTTTTGAGTTGAACGTTTTAGCTAGTGATTTTACCTTTGTGAGTTTGATTTAGAACTGAGAGAAATTATTATGGCAAAAAGTGTCTGTTATGTTTTATAGAATTTTTTTACAAGATCAACTTTTTTCTGAAGTCCCACTGTAAACTAGCTCATCTCACCTGTGCATCTTCTATAGCAGTGGTTCTTAAACTTGTTCGTAGAGTGGAACAAATCTTCACAGAGGGATTATCATGTCAATACCTCCTGTCCCATTGAGGACCAACACCATCCCTGTGGGAACTGCTGCAATTGCTTAAATGGAGAAGTAACATTAGCAAAGTAATGCATTTTTAGTGTCTTTCAATATACTTTAACAGCTAGCCCGGTATGACTAGGCAGGTCTCTGTGGACCACCAGCAAGTGATCCACAGACCACCAGTGGTCCACAGGCTTCAGTTTGAGAACCTCTGCTATACAACATTTTTGTAAGCCTTCCCCGTACACGTGTCAAAACAATCTTCACATGGTCAAGAACAAACCAAGGTGTATGATCTATCAGGGGAGCAGAGGTCATCAGTTTTCAAAATGTAGGGTTTGAAGGAAGCTAAGATAAGCGTATGGGCTTCTGAATGTATGTGCTCCCACTTGAGTGCAGGGTACCTTCTCGCGTTATTCTGAATGGTTTCCTCTGCTAGCACGAATGTCTTTTAAATACCTATAGTGCATTACACTACTTGCTACATTGCTGAATCATTCTGGCTGGTAAGGTCCTTTGACCTTAAAACTTCATGTTCACTGGCTCTTCAGACGTATAGCCCATTCTCACCTGCAGTATAGGAGATCGTCATAAACCCCAAGTATCATGAGTCATTTCTGCTGGCAGACAAGGCGAGCTCTCTAATGGTACGTCTGTACTGCAAAAAACCACTCTGTGCAATAAGTCTCAGAGCTTGGATCAGCTGACTTGGGCTCACAGAGCTTGCGCTACAGGGCTAAAAATAGCAGTGTAGATGTTCCCCTTTGGGCTGGAGCCCAGACTCTGAGACCACCTCCACTCGCCAAGTCTCCGAGCCCAGGCTCCAGTCCAAGCAGGAACATCTACACTACTATTTTTAGTCCAGAGGTGTGAACCGGAGTCAGTTGACCGGGCTCTGAGACTCACTGCTGCTGGAGCTTTTTTGCAGTGTAGACGAATCCTGAATGTCTGCACACAAAGTTGAGTGGTGTCACACCTGACGTCTTAGATCTGGTGTTCTTGGACAAACTGAATTCTCCACCAAAGGGATTTGGATCCCAATGGCAAAATTAAGTAAATTCCTTCTTGATGCATCCTCTCACACTTCAAGCACTTTGCTCCCTAGTTGGAATCACTGGTCACAAGAGACCGGTCTTTCAGATTTATGTGCCCAGATGAGTCTCTAGAGCAGTTCAGTTGGTAACACTATCAACTCTGAACTGAAAGGTTGTGGGTTGAAGTCCCTGAACAGGATGTGGGTATGTGCTGCATGCTGACAATGTACTACTGGGGACAAAGGAGGCTGCTGCACACTTAGAGGTACCATCCACTGAACAGACATTAAGCCAATATTCCTTCTGCCCATCTCTGGTTGCGGTGACAATTAAAGATCCCAAGACACTTGTTAGAAATGGAGGATAAAGCCCAGAGTCCTGGCCAATAAATCTGTCTCCTAGTGGAACAAGTTCTAACGCCCCATGTGAACACATATCGGTTACAGTTTGCTTGCAGTCACTTGCACTCCCAGTATCTAACACTTCCCCTTCAGACACCTAGATTATGAAAGGCACTGAATGATGTTCTCTGTGGCCTGTATTGCTCAGAGCTGGGAGAGTTCTCACAGTAGTGACCCCTGCTTGTTCCAGGCACATCTAAGGACAGCCCTGGGTATGCAGATATCTTTCCCAGCAGATCTCTGCCCCTTCCCGGCTAGGAAGCAGCACCTCGTGCCGACTGAATAGGCTGAAGATTGTGTTGGCTTCCTGCCCATGACACCAGTGCAAAATCATCCATCTTCTAAATGCAATTGTGAGTGTTGTTGTGGAGGTCTTTATTCGAACAATGTTTCTAGTAAGCACCGCTCCAGTGCTGCAGGAATAATACCATTTAAAGAGAACACTCAAGAGCAGGAGACACCCCAAAAATGTATTTTCTTGTGCAATGAACTTTGCAAACAGAGATATTACTTTGTGGGATTTCTTTCCCCTTCAGAACAAGGGTTTTGCTGTTTATTTCCTTCTATATGAGTGCTACCTGCTCAGCCATTTTGAGCAACCCTACAATAATAAATCTGTTTAAGTTTAATAAACAGAATTGAAATGTCAAGCTACTAAGGAGAAAAAGAAGAGGGAGAGAAACCCTGCCTGTGAAAACTGAGACACCCTTGTGACATGCTTTAGTGACCACTGGGAGAAAATAGGGCTGCTTACACAATAAACCTTCACCGAGTTCAGAACCCAAAGCAGGAGCGGCTTGCCAGGTTTTTGCAAACAGTGTGCATGATGCACCTGGCAGGATTTTAGTTCATTCTTCTGGAGTCAGTACGTTACATCTTAGTAAGTCCTTTCAAAGGAGCTGAAGGGAGTTAGATCACACAACTCCCATTGAAATTCAATTCCAATTCAGTGGGAGATGAGCCATCCAATTCCCCTACCTTTCCTTCAAAATCCCAACCTTCATCAAGACCATGTTTGCTGTTGGACAGGGTTAGTAGTTTTGTGGGACAGGTGAGAGGAGTTGTCCTAGCCTGGGGACAGTGTGATTGTTCTGCTTTCTTGTATATCTGGAATGTATATCAAAGTCCTGCCATACTGAATGAGACAGAATTGAAACCATTTGGGCATCTACTTAATATACAGACTGGTGTTAACATCGGGTTTGAGAATCAGTCTTGGAGCTTTCTTGGCGGAAGGATCAGAGAGAGAAGCCCTATCCAAATTGGGAATGCCTCCAACACAGTTACAGCCCTACTGCTGTGGATGTCAAACCTGTGACTGCAGTGGAGTCTGATAGGTGAGAACCTCACCAGTATTTATAAACTCAGCCTGGCATCTGGAAAAACCTAGCAGTCTAGACAATCTATGAGCTTACATGAAATTAGCAACTACCTGTTCCCTACCAAGAGAATGGAAGAGTCCACAGCTTCTAATAAGGAGGATAAACATGTTACAGGCGCCAGGCACTTCACTTGCGAGCACCCATTAGTGCTTTGTGCTGCCCACAGGATGATACTAGCCTATGATGAGCTGCCCCTCGACTGTCCCTATCCACTTCTTGTTTACTTTTGTCAGTTATAAGGAGAGAATGGGGTCAGCAGCACACAGATTTCCTTTCTTTGCAAAGGGTTTTCTGATGATTCTCCTCCTTCCCGGCCCCAGTTGCTCAGGTAGTAGCTCAGTCCAGGCAGTGCAGATAATTTGCAAAAGGTTTGAATTTAGGAAATCTTTACCATTGATTTACCAAGTTCTCTATTTATTTATTGCTGATTGTTAAGTTTGGCTCAGTTGTCACGCTGGACATAGAATCACTCTCTCAGCAGACACTGCCTGTCCCACAATGGGAAGTGGTAGAGTAGGGAAGGGTGAGGCCTCATGGGAATGCTGTATGCCCAATGTGGTTCCGTTGCCTTTGAACTGGAAGCTCTTTCATCCATGGATGGAGCAGTCTGTGTTGGGAATTTGCCTCCCCCCCCCCCAATGAGGAGCACATCAAACTTCATACAAAGCTTATGTGTTTGCTTGGTGCGGAAAAAAGTTATGCCTCCCCCTATGCTGTGTCCCCTTGCTTAAGGAGGCAAGCCAGGTTATCGGTTTGGGAGAAACTTTTGTGCCACATTATTGTGACATTGGCAAACTATTGAAACATTTTGGGGAATACTGCAACCTTAGCTTTTTGAATAGTCCCACAAAGATCTGCTTTGGTGGCCAGTAAGCTGAGTGGAACATCTGGTTGCTGTAGAAGCCGTTTCGCTCTGCATTGTCAGTTACAGGCCCACTGATGTATGCTTAGGAAACTGCAAAACACTTTGCTTCCCTCATTCCTTATTGTTAAACACTTCTGTGCATGAAACCGGAATCTCTGTTCTGTGTGAAGTAATCTGCTGCTGCTTATTCTGCACCTGACATCATATTCGTCTGTGCTGTGGAAACCATTATGATGTCAGAGAATTGTCACAGAAGGAAACAAGCACCAAGAGTGGATGAACTCTGAAGAAACAAA